ATTATTTTTTAGGATTTATTACTCTTATTACCTTTGCTTTTTTTGGCTTTATGTTTTTAAAATATTAAAAAATGTTTAAGATTTTTTTTTATATTTTAAATATATAATTTTTATTTAAATTTTTTTAAACATTTTATTTTATTTTATTTTTGTAAATATTTTAATTTTTTTAATTTTAATATTTTAAACTCAAAATACAACTTCACACTCAAATCATAACCAAACACATAACTCAAAACTCAATTCAAAAATTATTTTCAAACCTCATAACCATGATAAGACTATCAGTCCTACTGATAGTTCTACTGCAGTTATCAACAATGAAGGCTCATCATAAGCCATACATTGCCACAGTAGGATAGCTGAGCTTGTAACAAGATATTGTTGGAATATTAGATATATATGGTTAGGGTGTTAGATATATTGTTAGGTTAGTTAGGTTGGTTATAAGCTGATGTATATATATACATGTATGATTAGTTCTCAGAGATTAACAAAAGGTATTTTTTTGCTTTTGATAATTCAACATGGTATCAGAGCTTCAAGCTCCAACGAGCATTATCTCACCAAGTTAATCTTCAAGAATCTTCATCTATTTCCAAGAAAGTTCAATGGCGTCTTTATCTGCAACTGTTCCTCCAAATCTTGCAATGTTGATTTCTAACCTGAGTTCACTTGTGACTGTCAAATTGGATAGCAAAAATTTCCTTATTTGGAAACATCAAATGCAGAATATACTTAGAGCTACTGATCTCTTGAAGATTGCAAATGGATCATATCAATGTCCTCCGGCAATGATTCTGAATTCCTCTGGATCGGAAGTTTCAAATCCAGAATTTGTTCAATGGAAAATAGTTGATGCACATCGCTTAAGTTGTATCATTGCTACTCTATCTTAGCAATCTTCACAATTGTGATTCATCTCCAAAGAAGTTATGAAGTTTGGCTATACCTTGAGAAGCAATTTACTTCATTGTCCAGGTCGCACATTCACCAACTCAAGAACCAATTGAATTTAATATCAAAAGGTTCTGATTCAATGGAGGCTTATCTTGGTCACATCAAAAGTCTTGTGGATCAATTGAGCATGGCTTCATCTTCTGTTCATGATGAAGATGTGGTTCTTATTACACTAAGGCCATGTTTGTTTGGGCGGACTGGATTAGCATTCCCATGACTAATAGTCCTAAGACTACGAATCCGTTGGATTGTGTATCCTATCTTAACTAATAGTCAAGTTTAAAATAATTAATCCGTACTTCAATTGTTTAACCAAATATAGGATTAATAATTTTATTGGACTATTAGTCCAATCCCAAGCTCATATCCACCCAAACAAACATGGCCTAAAGGTTTACCTATGGAATATGATGCACTCAAAATGGCAATTCGATCTCGATCTGAGAGCATTTCTATAGAAGAGTTGTCATCTATTCTCTGTTCTGAAGCAATACACATTGAAGGCAAACTTAAACACACATCAGATCTTACAGTTGCCTATTCAACTGTAAAAGAATCTAATTCTTCCAAAGGATTCAATTCATATCATCATTCTAACCGTGGATCATATCGAGGAGATTCTAGAAATTTTGGTGGCAATCGATCTGTGAATAGATTTTCTAGTTGTTGTGGCCGATCTAAAAATCGCAGTCGAACCGGCTATGGCACTATTTGTCAAATTTGTGGAAAATCAAATCACTCTGCATTTGATTGTTGGCATCGTCTTGATCCTTAGTATTAACCACAACCACTCCCTACTTCATCATCATCTGCTACTCATGTGCCTCATCAGTCTAAGGCCTTTGTTACTTTCATGAATGATGATAATGCATCTTCATCTTCTATTCCTTGGTTTTTGGATTCTGCAGCCACTGATCATGTTACCAATGATCTTCATCAACTAAACTCCTATCAGCCTTATTCTGGCTCCGATCAGGTCACCATTAGAAATGGCACATCTCTTCCCATTCATCATACTGGAAAAGGTATATTACCAACTCCACATCATTCTTTTCGATTAGGTAAAGTTCTTCATGTTCTTTCCATATCCTCTAATCTGATCTCAGTTCACCAATTGGCAAAGGATAACAATTGTCTTATTATTTTTTATCACAATTCCTTTTCCATTCAGGACAAACACTCTAAAGCCATTCTTCATAGAGGATTTCATCACAATGGACTCTACTACTTTACTGAGCCTTCATCTCCTGCTTCTTTTTATGCTTTGCACAATGATACATCATCTGCTACCTCTTCATCTCCATCTTCCTCATCTATTGTTCTATGCCACAAAAGATTAGGCCATCCATCTTTTTCCAAATTTCAACTTGTTGAACCTCATTTGTCATTACATAATAAAGATGTGGCTTGTAATAAAGAAGCTTTGACTTGTATTGATTGTTCTCTTGCTAAATGTCATAGGCTCCATTTTAAACTCTCTAATTCTACTGCTAATAATCCTTTGGCACTTATACATAGTGATGTTTGGGGACCATTTACCCCCTCTCCTACAGGATACAAATATTATGTTTTGTTTGTTGATGATTTCAGTAAGTTTACATGGCTCTATCCTTTACATTTTAAAAGTGAAGTTTTTGCCAAATTCGTGGAATTCAAAGCCTTTGTTAAAAATCAATTTATAGTTAAATTGAAAATTCTTCACACTAATAATGGTACTGAATATCTAGGTCTTAAGTTTCAGAATTTTCTTCGCACTCATGGTATTGATCATCAGTTGTCTTGCCCTTATATACCACGACAAAATGATGTAGTCGAAAGAAAACACAGACACGTCATAGACACTGCTATTGCCTTGCTTCAACAGTCTGGTGTGCCTCTTACTTATTGGTTTGACACTGTAGGCATTTTTGTTTACCTTATTAATTGAATGCCTAGCTCTAAGCTTCAAAACCAGTCTCCTTTTGAAATTTTGTTTCATCAATTACCTGACTATCACTTTCTTAAACCATTTGGTTGTCTGTGCTTTCCTTGGCTCAAGCCATATGTTCATCACAAGCTTCAGCCCCGTTCTATTGCTTGTGTGTTTCTTGGCTATATTCCTTCTGTCAAAGGTTATAGGTGTCTTGACTCCCACACTGGTTGTATTTATGTCTCTAGGCATGTTGTTTTTCATGAGCAAACTTTCTCTTTTGCTTCTTCATCTATGGTTCATCCTCCTTTTTTACTGTCTCACTATCAGTCTTTCTTTTGGCTATCTTGTTTCCATTCCACACCAATTGTGACTCCTAGTTCTCAATCATCTCCACCCCTTTCTCCTCCTACTTCTTCATCTGCTTCTTTACCTTTTGTCTCTCCTTCTGCTATTCCCATTGGCTCTTTGGTTGTTGATTTTCATCAATATTCTTTTCCTATTTCTACTCCTTCTTCTTCTATTTCTCCTCTTTTTATTGTTCCATCTCTTAATCAGCATCCCATGGTTACTCGATTTAAGGTAGCTCATCTCTCTTTGTTTACTATTACTCCTACTGCTTCTGAGCCCTGCTCTTATAAAGAGGCTGCTCTTTCTTTTAACTAGACTAAGGCTATGCATGAAGAGTTTGCACCTTTTCAATAACAGTCCACTTGGACTTTGGTTCCTTTGCCTTCCACCAAACAAGCCATTGGCTGTAAATGGGTTTTTCATCTCAAACGTGACTTTATGGAGGTCCATGATGATGGGTCATGGAGTAATTCAAGGCATGATGGGTCATGGTGCTCATGAAGTAAGGAAAAGTATCAAACGTGGAGCACAAATTGAGGCAACGTAAACTGCCATCAACATGGTTATGAATTTGTCTAAGCCAATAAATAGGCCAGAAGAAGATGAACAGAGACATCAATCAAATTCAACAACTCTACATGGGTTCAATTAGGAGTAGTTTAACATATCATAGGACTAGTTTATCATCATAAGAGTAGTTTTAATTTAGTGGTTCTGTAATGGTTTTTTGGTTCTTATAATCAGTAACCTTTTTTTGGTTCTTTTGTATTTTTGATTTTGTTCTTATTCAAATAACAATTTCAGCAATACAATATTACTTTTTATTTTGTTCCTTTTTGCCGATAACCTCCAAAGAAGGCCTTGAATCTGTCAAGGTATAGGACATCGACCACATTGCTTGATTGTATTGTTTTCGTTACTGTTTCATGTAGCCTCAAAGTATGTAAAGGACCATGGGTATTCAAGATATAATGGACACCAAGAATGGTAGAAGATGTGGCACAAAGTATGGTAACAACGTGACTTGATGGAGCTGTAGGATGATGGGTCATGGACTAATTCAAGGCATGGTGTGTCATGGTGCTCATGAAGTAAGGAAAAGTATCAAACGTGGAGCACAAATTGAGGCAACGTAAACTGCCATCAACATGGTTATGAATTTGTCTAAGCCAATAAATAGGCCAGAAGAAGATGAACAGAGACATCAATCAAATTCAACAACTCTACATGGGTTCAATTAGGAGTAGTTTAACATATCATAGGACTAGTTTATCATCATAAGAGTAGTTTTAATTTAGTGGTTCTGTAATGGTTTTTTGGTTCTTATAATCAGTAACCTTTTTTTGGTTCTTTTGTATTTTTGATTTTGTTCTTATTCAAATAACAATTTCAGCAATACAATATTACTTTTTATTTTGTTCCTTTTTGCCGATAACCTCCAAAGAAGGCCTTGAATCTGTCAAGGTATAGGACATCGACCACATTGCTTGAAACGACGTTGACGGTTGCTCGCCCCTCACCGCCACTCCTCCCTCACCGGCGATCTTCCCTCACCGCCGATTTCAAAGGGTATCTCTCTCTTTCTCTCTCTCTCTCTCTGTGTCGGGATTTCGGATATAGGGGGTTTTCATACACACACACATATATATATATATACATCTGTGAGTGTATATAGGGGGGTTTTTGATCTGTTACATTTATATTTATATAGAATTAGAGATACATAATAGTGCCTCTCTCTGTTCCGGATTTTTGTGAGCTTTAGATTTCCAGATCACTAAAAGCTTTGAGAAATTCAAGGTCTAATCTCTCTCTCTCTCTTTCTCACTCTCTGTGTGCATATGTAGATGTGAATGTTTAAAATTTATGTGTATTTGTATGCTTTTTTATTTATTATTATTTTTTTTAATGTTAGTATTTGTCTTAATTTGCGAAGCTTCTTGTTGAGGTTTGGTGTAGCTCACCATGCCTCCAAGAGAGTTTTTGTACGAAATATGAATGTCGTTAGTGTCTCGCTAAAAAATTTGACTTGTTATGTTTAGATCTTAGATTTGTTGAGAGAAAATGAAAAGATGGTGAAAGAAGACTCAGTGAAAGAAGTAATTTTTTGCTTTTTTTTTTTTTTTTTTGGGTTGGATTGAGAGAGAGAGAAGAAAATCAACAATATATAATTGTCAAAAAAAAGAAAAGAAAATTCTACTTTTTGGCTGTTTACTCAATATGAATAATAAGTAATTACAAAACAAGATCCAAAACATAGCATTAGCTTTCTCAACTCTGATTACACTTCACATCTCTCTCTCTCTCTCTCTCTCTCTGCAATGTCTCTTGTTCTGCTTCAGTCTTCGATCTAGAGGTGGATGATCAGAGCCTCAGTTGAAGTAAATGCCAGTAAATCAACGATAAACCTTGCGTTCTACACTCGTTTGACCTTGACAAAAACTTTGGCATATCCAATTGTTTTTCACTGATTGCACTTTTCCACAACTAGGGATTGTAACAATGAAGGAAAATAGAATGATAAATTATCACACTACAATTTATGGTTAATGAAGAGCCAGAGCTTTGCTCTCAGACACTTTGATTTAGATTCAAATGCTTGAAAGTATAAGTGTTAATACTTCCCTTCACCAGTGGAATTCACATTCTTGTTAGGAAAACTAGAACTAAAAATTACTTTCGATAGAAAATAAGGGGGTGCGAACTATGAGGTTGTTATTTCAATCAATGAGTACTTGTATGAGAATAATTGATTTTTTTTTATGGCTTTTACTTTTTAGGGCTGATTTGGTTGATTTTGTATTGGGATAGAGTTGAGTGAGCCAAGGCAACCGAAGCAAAACAACAGTGTTTAAGTGTAAGAATATTGATCTATAGCAAGGCCATTTGTTAATTTATCCATTATATTGTCCCTGGTAATGCCAAATTCGTATTAGAAAATGCATGACCATTGATTTTCCTATGTTTCCCTGAACTTCTTAGTATTTAAAAGGAACAATAAGGAGTTCTTAAAGGGAGAATTTTTTTGCAAAGAAAAATAATACTTGCCTTCTCCTTTACATGTCTTTAATCTGAATAGCTCAACAAAGAGTTTGGGTTGAAAAGACAATTTTGTTGTGTCTTCCCCGCCATAAACAAAGGGTTTAGCTATTCTGGAGTTTTTTATTTCCACACTTTGCTTCACTGAAAAGCCCACATCTGACGTTTCAGCTGAATTTTTTAAAGCCATGACGTGTGCCGCTTTTGATTTCCTCTCTTTATTTAAGGTTTGTGGGGCAAGGGGCTGTCTGTTGTTTTCTGTTGTGTTTTTCTTGGTTTAGTTGAGAGAATATGGTGTAGCAGCTCCTTCGCCTGCTCTTGTTTATAGTACACAAGCCAAAAGCTATTGGACTTGTATATCCTCACCTAAAGCACACATACTAATAAAATTACTTCTTCACAAGATCAGGTCATCATGCACAAAATGTTTTAAAGAAAAGGACGGTATAGATTGCTACTATACCATTTTATATATATATATATATATATTTGATGATTTATTGGTATTACATTGTGAAAATGCCAAAACAAAATTTTAATTTTCCTTTAAATTTTGATTCTGTACTGAAAAGTTCAGTTTTCATTGAAACGTAGCTCTCTGCAGTCATGATTTCAAGTCTATGGTTAGCATAACATAGAAAAGCATCAACCATTTAAGGTGAAAAATTAAGAACTTCCATTCTTTAGAAATCATTCTTTCTATCAAGTGCATCCTATTTGCTTCATTATTAAGTAACTATGGGGGCATTGATCAACTTCATAAGGCTTGCTTTCTGCAAAATAAGAAATAATTCTTTTCAATCTGTTTTAATATGTATTTACATCTTTTTTTATTTTTTGTTTTTGTTTTTTTTAGGTATGCTCAGCTACTATGGTTTGATGGTGGTAGGAGGAAGGTGGAAGATGAGTAGTAATATTCCATGGCTGTCCCAGGAGAGCAAGAGGAACATGCATTGGAAAAAAGAGGTGTTGGGCAAAAAACACCATTGACAAGTGTCAAGACAATGCTAGAGTGGTACACTTACAGGTCTTGAAGAACTTTCTAGATGGTCTTGTTAAATTTCATATATTTAAAAGGTTGGAAGAATGGGCTTGCTAGTGGTTCAATGGTCAAAATAACATTTCACTCCACATTCTATAATTGACCATGACCCAAGGATATGAATTATCTATTTTATTATATAAAGCATACATTTCATCCGGCGAAACTATGGCACATATTTTTTATGTCCAAATTAATCCTTATTATATAATTGAATTTTTATTTTAAATTTTGATTTCAGTTTTTGTTCCTTCTATCTATATATAGGGCGATTTTTATTTTAAATTTTGGCATGTTTCATATTGTAACTGTTCTCTATTTATTTGTAGGTCAAAAGGATAAATTTTTCCGAGGGGAAGATCTGATTCTAGAAGTAAGGAATTTGGAGCTTGATTTTTCAAATAGGTTCAAAATTGAGATCTTGTTGGAAATTTTTTAATTTTTGTAAGAGCATTTAAATATCCAATGTGCTGATTGGTGAATTTTAGGTTTTATTTTATTATTTTATTTTTTTTTAGGATTTGGGTGAATTTTATAATTTAAATATGCTTTTATGAACATGTACAGTTTAATTGTTCTTTGTAAAATATTGAATTTGATGGTTTGATCAATTGAAATTTTTATTTTTATTTTCTGTTATGATGTTTTTGTGAATAGAATGTAAATAATCAGCTCTTAGAGAGAGACGGCACTACCGTCGGAAAAAATAGAAAATTTTAATATTTTTATTAATTTTGTTACAGGTTTTATTTTTTGCGACGACATTATACTGTCGCAAAAAATAGAAATTTTATTATTTAAAATAGAAAATTTATTATTTTTTAATATTTTTTGCGACGGCATTACACTGTCGCAAAAAATAGAAAATTTTATATTTTTTATATTTTTTGCGACGGCACCACACCGTCGCAAAAAGAATTGTTTTTTTTTAAAAAAAGACTATTGGCGACGGTATTTTTTGCCGTCTCAAATAACATTTTTAGCGACGGTAAAATAGGGCCGTCGCAAAAAAGTTGAGAAATTTCAAACGTTATTAGCGACTGCACGGTGCCGTCGCAAAAAGGCAAAAAATGCCGTCGCAAAACATTAGCGACGGCACTTACCGTCGCAAAAACTCTTTTGCAACCCCTGCAGTTGTGACCCCCCTCTTGCCGTCGCAAAAAGTCATTTTGCCGTCGCAAAAAGTATTAGCAACGGCATTAGGAGTATTAGCGACGGTATTTTACCGTCGCAAAAAGTCAATTTTTTTGTAGTGACTCCACATCATTCTTTTCGATTAGGTAAAGTCCTTCATGTTCCTTCCATATCTTCTAATCTGATCTCAGTGCACCAATTGGCAAAGGATAACAATTGTCTTATTATTTTTTATCACAATTCCTTTTCCATTCAGGACAAACACTCTAAAGCCATTCTTCATAGAGGATTTCATCACAATGGACTCTACTACTTTACTGGGCCTTCATCTCCTGCTTCTTTTTATGCTTTGCACAATGATACATCATCTGCTACCTCTTCATCTCCATCTTCCTCATCTGCTGTTCTATGGCACAGAAGATTAGGCCATCCATCTTTTTCCAAATTTCAACTTGTTAAACCTCATTTGTCATTACATAATAAAGATGTAGCTTGTAATAAAGAAGCTTTGACTTGTATTGATTGTTCTCTTACTAAATGTCATAGGCTCCGTTTTAAACTCTCTAATTCTACTGCTAATAATCCTTTGGCACTTATACATAGTGATGTTTGGGGACCATTTACCCCCTCTTCTACAAGATACAAATATTATGTTTTGTTTGTTGATGATTTCAGTCGCTTTACATGGATTTACCCACTCAATTATAAGAGTGAGGTTTATTCCAAATTTTTGGTGTTCGAGGCCTTTGTTGAAAAATAGTTTCGCTTTCCACTTCAAGTCCTTCGGATTGGTGGTGGTGGCAAATTTATTAATCATCCAATGCAAGTTTACTTACAAAATCATGGGATACACCATCAATTTTCTTGCCCCCATACCCCCTTCCAAAATGGGGTAGCTAAAAGAAAACACTTGCATATCACAGAGACTGCTATTTCTCTTTTACACCACTCCTCTTTACCCATTACCTACTGGTTTGATGCTGTGGCTATAGCCACCTACCTCATCAATTGTCTTCCTAGTGCCTCTCTTTCTCATTTCTCTCCTTTTGAAGTTCTCTTTCATACTAAACCTGATTACACTCTTCTAAAAGTATTTGGTTGTTTATGTTTTCCATGGTTAAAACCATACTCTCCTCACAAATTAGCCCCCAAATCTGCCCCTTGTGTCTTTCTTGGTTACCATTCTTCTGTCAAATGTTATAGATGCCTTAATTCTTCCACAGGAAAAGTTCATCTCTCTAGGCATGTTCGATTTCACGAGGATTCTTTTCCCTTTTCTCACATTTCCTCTGTTCAGCCTCCTTCTTTACCTTATTTATAGAGTTTCTTTTGGGCTTCCTCACCCTCTTCTGCAACCTCCTCTAGTGCTACTACAGCTCATCTTCCCATACCCGCTGCTCCTACAGCTCCTCTTCCCATACCTGTTGCTGCTCAGTTTGCTTCTCATACTCTTCCTATTCCAATTCAGTTTCCTCCTCCTCCTCCCATTAATATTTCTACTCCATCTGATTCCTCTTTGCCTGAGCCTCCATCCTCTATTCCCATTAATTCTATTTCAGTGGTTCTTCCCCTTCAACCTCCTTCCACTAATGTACATCCCATGCAAACCAGGTTTTACTGCTATCACTCCTGTTTCTGCCTTTGAAGAAACTTTGACTGAACCCCTTTTTTCTAAAGAAGCTCTCCTCTCTCCTGTTTGGTTTCAAGCAATGATGGATGAATATTCTGCCCTTCAACAACAGGGTACCTGGTCCTTGGTGCCTCTTCCTCCTTCTAAGCAATCCCTTGGTTGCAAATGGGTGTTTAAAATCAAGCAAAATTTTGATGGATCTATTGCTCGACATAAAGCCCGCCTTGGCCTTGTTTGGTAGGGCTTATTTCTAGCTTATTTCAGCTTTTAGCTTAATTTAAGCTATTTTGATATGTTTGGTTCAGCTTAACAATATAGCTTATAGCTTTTTGTAAGTCAAAAAATCAACTTATTCTTTGAGTGGGAGAGGAGAAGCTTAATTTATAAGTAAAAAATTAGCTTATGTTCATGGCTATAAGCTATAAGCTGTTAGGCTATAAGTTATAATCACTTTCCCACAGCTCTACCAAATGGGGCCCTTGTAGCAAAGGGCTTTCTTCAACAACATGGCATTGATTTTCATGATACTTTTAGCCCTATGGCTAAGCAACCCACCATTCGAATTTTATTGTGCTTGGCTCTCCATCATCATTGGCCACTTAAGCAATTGGATATTAGCAATGCCTTTCTTCATGGTCGTCTTGACGAAAAGGTGTATATGGACCAGCCTTCTAGTTTTGTTGATCCCATCAACCCTACTCTTGTTTGCAAGCTTCATAAGGCTCTCTATGGGCTTAAACAAGCCCCTCGGGCTTGGTTCTCCACCTTCTCTACATATCTTATACAACAAGGATTTCTTCAAGGCAAATGTGACTCCTCTCTTTTTGTTCACAAAACTTCTACCTCTCTCACTTATCTACTCATTTATGTTGATGACATCCTTCTCACTGGGACCAATGCTTCTTACATTCAGTCTCTCTTGACTCATATGCATCAGGAGTTTTCCATGAAGGAGCTTGGAGATATTGCCTATTTCTTGGGTATCTCAGTTACTTCTTCCCCTACTGGGTACTTTCTATCTCAACATAAATATGAAGCTGACATTCTTGCCAAAGCTGGCATGATTGAGTATAAACCATGTTCTACACCTGTCTCTACCAAGCTCTCCAATACTGCTGCTGATGTTCTTCCTTGTTCTAATTCTTTTCTCTATCGCAGTCTGGTGGGAGCTCTCTAATATCTCACCATTACACGGCCTGAGCTTTCTTATGCTGTTAATCAGGCTTGTCAGCATATGCACTCCCCCACCGTGGGTCATTTTTCAGCCTTAAAACGTATTCTTAGATATGTGAAGGGTACTATTTCTCATGGTCTTTCTTTTCAACCTAGTCATTTCCAATTACAGGCTTATAGTGATTCAAATTGGGCTGGTGATGTCACCAATCACCGTTCTACCTTGGGCTATTGTGTCTACTTGGGTCACAATTTGATTTCCTGGTCTTCTAAGGAGCAAACAACTGTTTCTCGCTCCTCCACTGAAGATGAATACCGTTCTCTAGCTCACACTGCCGCTGAGTTGACTTGGTTGCACATGCTTCTTCAAGAATTTCATATTCCTCAATCTGCTCCTCCTGTCTTATGGTGTGACAATCTCTCATCAATCTCCTTAACTGCCAATCCTATTTTTCACAGCCGCTCGAAGCATATCGAGGTGGATTGTCATTTCGTGTGCGTGAAGGTTGCTTCTCGTAAACTTCTTCTCAAATATGTTCCCACTGCTCACCAATTAGTTGATATCTTCACTAAGCCCTAGTCTGCTGCTTGATTTTCTTATCTAACACACAAGCTCATGGTTCATGCTTCACCTATTTGCCTGCGGGGGAATGATAAGACTATCAGTCCTACTGATAGTTCTACTGCAGTTATCAACAATGAAGGCTCATCATGAGCCATTCATTGCCACAGTAGGATAGCTGAGTTTGTAACAAGATATTGTTGTAATATTACATATATACGGTTAGGGTGTTAGATATATTGTTAGGTTAGTTAGGTTGGTTATAAGCTGATGTATATATATAGTTCTCAGAGATTAACAAAAGATATTTTTCTGCGTTTGATAATTCATCAAACCAAACACATAACTCGAAACTCCACACCATTTTCAAAACTCTACACTCAAATCGTAATCAAATATATAATAA